TGTGTGGCGCAGGGCCTTCGTGCCGGCAAGGCGCTTGTGGCCAAGCACCCACGGCGTGTGGGGCCCCTGCGAGCGCTTGCCGCGCTTCTGCAGCACAAGGCGGTTGCCGGGGGTGCGCACGAGCTTCATGCGGTTGCCGCGCGTCGCGTAGTGCATGCGGCGGCGGTACTGCACACGTGGGCAAGCCATCTTTCCTGCACGTGCGCAGTGGAATAGGTGCAAGTAGGGGTGTACGCGTGCACGTGTGTTGCGAGGGTGCAGCGAGGAACAGAGAGAGAGAGAGAGAGAGAAAGAAGAGACATAGAAAAACGTCTGAAACGGAGGAAGCACCCACAACACAGAGACACACATGCAATACACATGAGGGGTGAAAGAGAGCGTGTGAGAAAGGCAGCTCCTTATTCCATGACGAATGGGGTGCCTATCTTTCCCCAGGCCACTGCTCAGTCGCCGCCGCGACACTTGTCAAGTTTCGTGACGGAGAAACCATTGGTACTACTTTCACCACCGCTTCCGCCGCTACTGGGCAGCTCCTCTACCACCCAGGCCTCTTTCGCCACGCTGCACGCCACCCGCACCGCTGCAACGGTCGCCAAGTGTGCGAGCGGCCCAAAGAACACCAAGCAGTCGCCATGACTCTCCACATCGCGGTAGCCAATGAACGCCGCACCGAATTGGCTACCGTGGCGCAGCCGCAGCCCCTCTACGTCGGTGAGATGGCGGTAGACGCGGCACGAAAGCGTATGGCGCTCGCGTAGATACTCACGGCACCGCGCATCATCCTCACTAAGGAATTCGATGGTGTGGGTGTGGCTCAGGTACTCCAGCTCCTCAATGCTCAGGGGGGCGCCGCTGTGGTGCTTCTTCTGTGCCTGTGGAAGCGTCTGCAGGAAAACGGACGGGTCCTCGCAGACAAACAGTGGCCCGTGCGTCCGGACGACACGGATGATGGCGGCACGCTGGTCATTCGCCTCAATGCCCTCGCACTGTTTCTGCTGCTCCAGCATGGCCGCCGTGTGCAAAGAAAGGAACGCAGCTGTCAGGCTCCCCCCCCCCGCTCCCTCTCTGAGTTCTCAACACACACACACACACACGCACGCAAACAGAGACACACTCTCTCTTTCTGATGAACAGAAAGGGGAGAAAAGAATAACGATTCAACTAGAAATACAGCCAAGCGCATCTTCTTCAACCTCATCTCCAGCTTTAGATGCGTCTATTGTCTTTTCATCATCCTCATTCCCTTTGTAATAGTGGTGGTGATGGGCAAAACCACAGCCATCATCACAACAACAACAACAACACATCACCGCTGCCATCGCCGACGTCGTTGTCGTCGTCTTCGCCGCCGCTATTGTCATCTTGGTTATGTCATGATGGGGTTAGTCCTGCCAGTGCTCTGCGGGCGTCGCGGGTTCCAGCGACCCTCAAAGATGGGTCGGTATTTCATCTTGGACAGGTCAAACACAACGCCGTCCTTGTTGGTGACGAACCGCTCCTGGTCGTACTCGACAGGGTCGCTCTCCGGCTTGCCCTCACGCCGCTCTTGCATCATGACACGCCACCTCTCGTACGTGTCGCGGTCCATGCCGATGATGCGACCCGTTTTGGGGTCCTCCACGACAATCTCCTCGTCGTTGCGCTCGTGTGGGAACTTCGTAATGGGAATCGACGCGGAGTCCCACGGCGCGAGCTCCGGCGCGGGGGCCTCCTTTTTGTCCGACTTGCCACCGCGCATCGCCTGGTATAGGCGCCTTTCTGTCGGGTCGCCAGTAGGCTTCCCCTGTATCTCGCGCATTGTGGTGTTCTCAATGTAGTCGTGCAAGTGCTCCTTGGGGTACCAGTGGTAATACGACGGCAGCCGCTCCCATTGCACTTCCTCACCAGGCTCGAGCAGAGGGCGCAGCTTTGTACCGCTCGTGCCAGGGCGCACCAGCCGGCCGTCGCTCATCTGGTGGTACTTGGGGCCGATGCCGGTGCCCTGCATGTGGCGGTACTGCTCCGCCACCTTGTTCGGCTTGAACATCGCCGATGAGAACTGCTTGATGGGTGGGATGCCAAGCTGCGTGTCAGAGAGGGAGAACATGTCGTTCTCGACGAAGTCGCCAAAGCACTCAACACCGTAGCCGTTGGTGGGAATTGGGTTAATGACAGCGAGGGCGGCACGGCGTGACACGGACAGCTGTACGCCAAAGTGGCCACATGCCTGCGGTGTGGTAAGGCAGTGAATGATGGAGCCGCGCTTCTGAAAGGCAATGCGCAGCTCCTCGTCGATAAAGTGCAGGTTTCGGCCAGTACCTAAGAATATGACATCCGGCACCGGGTACAGATGCAGCAGTAATGCCATGGTCCGCTCATTCACCTCCTCGAAGCTGCTGACATTCCAGTGGTAATACGCCTTGTCGGTGACGATGCAGGAGCCGATCACCTCCTTGTCGTTGACAAAGATACTGTCGGGCGTGTACGCCGTGACGCGCATCTTTGACATTCCCCGCGGCTCCTCTACCCGCGCGGAGAAGGGGTTGGCGTGAAACTGCGTCGCCATCTTTTCCTCATTGTAGAAGCGCTCCTGGCCCTCCTTTGTCTGCAGTGATAATCCGCTCGCCGTCTTGCCCGACTCGCGCTGCCGCTTCAACCACTGGGCGAGTGCGACGCTATCCTGCGGCCTGTAGCCTGGTGTTATCTTGAACGGATCGTAATTTGGATCACTCGGATGAGGACGCCGCCGTTTTTGCGTCTCCTCCAACGACATTTCAGAACGCTTCGCCTCCGCGACAAACTTACGGTATTCAGCCTCATTCTCAACCTGTAATTGTCGCCGCATCAAGAGAAGTTCCTCATCTGCCTCATAGTCGTCCGGCTTCGGTGACTTGACCAGCTTGTTGGCGTGATCAATGTCCATGTACGTCTCGCGCGTTCCGGTGCCTGCGAAGAGTTGGCCATCACGCGTAGTGGGAAGCTGCTGTTCCTCCACGAGCCGGCTTGTGGTCAGCTTCTGTTCCTCCAACCACTTCTTGTCTCGCTCTGCCATGTAGTCTTCGATCGACTGACCGGGGCGGATGCCGACGCGCACGCCACCCTCTTGCTGTAGGTATGTTTTCTTGTACGTCTCCGCGTTCATTGGCACTTCCGTCAGCGGGTCATCGCGAGGGTCGGGGACGTAGCGCCGCACCAGTCGCTGCACGCTCCGCCGCGCCTTTGTCTTCCAGTCGACCGGTAGGCCCTTGTGACGAGCCATACACCGTCGCATTGTTCCCGACTTCTTCTATAATGTATATTTATATAAGCTACCGACAATCCCATATGAGATAAAAATAAATATATTTTTGTTCGTAGATGGTAAGAAAAAAAAAGACATAGGAAGATAAAGGGATGTGTCGGTCGCCCAGTGCTCAAGGAAATCTCAGAGCAAGAGGACACACAAATACACATGTGCGTATATACATAAATATATATATATATATATATAAATGTATATATATATATATATGTATATATGTATGTATGTATGTATGTATGTATGTATGCATGTATATCTCTCTCCGTGTATTTGTGTTTGCGGCTGCACCAAAAGTGGCTCATGTTGTTATACGCATGCGGCTCCCTAGACGCTCACCGCCTCTTCAATTTGAGCCTTGATTGACGACGCGTTTAGCGTTGATGCCGCCGTCCCCTCGTTGGTTGTTGCGATCGCACTTGGCACAATCACAAAGCGACGCGGCAGGTCGTCGCAGCTGGGCAATATCGCCACGAGCTCTTCGTACTCTTCTTCGACTGCAACCACAAACAACAAGCCGGCCACCGGTGCCAGTGGCACCTCCTCTATCAACTCTGCATGCGAGAGCGCACACACACAGTTGACTAACGCCTTGGTGGGCTGCACCCGAATCGCGCTGACATTCTCGTCTTGCTCCACGTACTGCACGAATTGAAGTTGTGCAAGCGGCAGCACCATTTTGGCGCAGTCGAGAGGCTGCTGCGGGGTGCCGGCGAAGTACTCGCACAGACGCAGTTCGCGGAGGGACACACTGCAGCGCCGCTCCACGGGCGAGTTATAGGAGAACTCACACTCGGGCAGAACACGCTGCACATCCTCCTGCAAGAACGTCGACCACGTCTCTGAACCGTCTTGTGCGCCAACTATCACGACGTGGGTGGGCCGCAGGAGCTCGATAAGGCGCCGGAAGTACACGCCCTCTCGGATTCCGGTGACGGGCGCTGGCGCATCAATGATGAGGTGCGCATGATCAGCATTCGCCTCTCCTATGAGTGCCTCCGCACAATCATGCAGCTGCTCAACAAAATGCAGGAAAGATTTGATGGTTTCCGACGAGGGGAGGGCCGCCTCTCCCACATAGAGCGAGAAGGGCAGCAGCGTTGGCGCCGCCGATGTGCCTGGCCACAATCGGTGTTTCACCTCCACGGCGGTAATGCAGCCGGGTGCGTAGAGTGCGTTGGACTCTGTGTTGAGGTCCGTGAGGAACACNGGTGTTTCACCTCCACGGCGGTAATGCAGCCGGGTGCGTAGAGTGCGTTGGACTCTGTGTTGAGGTCCGTGAGGAACACCGCTGCTGCAGGGCCCCCCGCCTCCCCCGTCGCATTCTCAAGCAGTAGATTGCAGATGGTGTGCGCCGTCAGCGTCTTGCCGCTGTGACTGTGCCCGATCACCAGCACCTTGCTGCGCTTCTGTGCAGCCAACGTGCGGCGGCAAAGTTGCACCACGGCTGCTATGCCGGTTGCCTTCTTGGAGGCCTCGAAGGGCGCATCAGCGGACGCCAGCACCGACCCGCCCTCCAGCGTGTACAGCACCACGCAGAGCTGGTCCGATACGAGGCGAAACACGCACGGCTTCCTTGCGTTGAGGAGAACACCCGCAACTTCCACAACACCGGACTGCAGCTGAAGCTCAACTGTGCAGGTACCGGATATCGTGCATTCTTCACCCGCGCTAATTGTGATTTTACGCTGATATGGTGACGCCATAAGCACCTTCTACAGCCGTTTTTTTTTTTGTTATTAACCGTTCTGTTGCGGGCGTTGCTTATGCTGTTGTTGCTGTTAGGGGTTTACACCTCTTCCTGCGGTTGCGATTGCTGTCCACCCGCAATGCCTCCTCTCCTACTTCAGTGGGCACGGTGTTCTTCTTTCTCTCCCTAGCCGAGCAGAAAGAGCACCCGTCTCCCCTGTTTCTTCCTTGTCCTCCTATGGAGCAGTTGACCCCGGCACAATGCTGAGAGCAGAGACGCATTTACGAGCGGGGGGTAAAATAAAAAAATAAAAAAAGACAACAGCAGGGGTGGAGAATACTCAGCACGAAGAAAATCCCACACACGCCCACGCACTTCGCCCCCGGGCCACCTCGCCCCACAATCCGAATGCAGCTGGCGAATGGTAGTGGACAAGAAAAAAAAAGAACTTTCAACAAAAAAAAAAGGGAGTAACGAACTCTTCGTTTCAACTGACACACGCACACAAGTGCATTAATTGTTGCATAGTTACCTTTTTTTT